AGCGTCTCATCACTATCTCAGTTCCATGTACGGTGGCCACTCCCCTCCTTTGCCCATGAATGAGGGTTTCCCGGGACACAGGATTTTGCTAAAACCAAGACAACTGTAGACAAACCCAGACAGTCACGCTAGTTGTAAGAAATGACTTCCTCAATGGGAGGAACTGGCGGTACTTTTATATTAAATACTCAGTTATGGATAGCTGTTATTTAGTTGCATTTTTTTCAGTTACAAACAAAATTCTAAATTCCTCATGGGCTTTTTGTACAGAGTTTTTGTTGTTTGCTTGCCCTGTTTTACACTGGATGATGCAAACATTGTCTGTACATCTGACAGCTGGTAGCAGAAAGGCTCACTTCAGGAAGCTCAGAAACTTTTTTAAAAAAATCCTTTTTTAACCAATCTCTTTATTATATAGGGAGTGCTTTACTAATAGTCATTTTAGAGTCATCCTGAAAGGTCCATTCAGTATAATATTTTAAAAGGAAAAAAAGATTTAAAGTAGCTATCTCAAATAAGGACAGTCAACTAAACGAGACAAAAGTATACCAGATTTCACTGTTTATAGCTTCTTGTGCTCAGACACTTGTAATTTTTTTTCTGCTAAGCTTTCTAGCTTTTCTTTAGAATTGAGTTTTTAGGCCTCCTCGATAGAACTATTATTTAAATTAACTGTCTCTTCTTTCAAACTATGTAATCATTTACTTGTGTGCTTAACAATTAGCTTCTCTCAGCACTTCTGATCTCATCAGAAAAAGAAAATATACTGCTGGAGAACATCATCTATTTTCTTGTCCCTCTGACTGGTCCAAGCAGGGAAGCCTTTACATAACTTTGAATAAAAACTAGATATGCTTCTAGTGTCAGACAATTCCACTCTTCGTAGAATTTTGCATTTTACACAGTGCTCACACAGAGAGGGTTTCACTTGATCCACATAAAATAATTTTCAGGCTCAGGTTTTGCTCTGAGCCTGGCATGAGAAATGCGTATAAGTAAAACTACTTTAGTTATGGAATGGCCGTATCACAACCAGTTGTTTCCAAGGTATGTTTTGCTATAATCATAAATTTTTAAGATGTGAATACTGACTCTATACGTGAATAAATTTTGAGGGTTAATGATAACTTTATAGGAGTCAGTAATAAAAAGAACAGACCTCCTAATTCCTCTTAAAAATTCTCTTGTAAACACTTTATGCCACTTGGTGAAGTAAATGAAATTTCTCCTCTCAGTTGTGTTCATTCACTTCACAAATCTTTATGGAAGCTGCCCTCTAAGCCAGATGCTCTGCAGCCACTGCAGGGGGACCAGACTCCCCGTGGCCTATTATGGTAACAGCATGATGGGCAAGGCAGACTTGATTCCAATGGTCATCCAAAGGAAGATCAGTGTTTCTTAATTTATAGGTCATTAGAGTGTGAAAACTTTATACTATATAAAAAAATTATATGTCAATTATAAGTATATCTTAAAAAAATGATTAGTGCTTCCAAACGATTTAATGGCTATTTTCCCTGTTGACGCTGAACATTTTGAACGAGTTTATCTGCCCAACACATTCATTGTGTAATTATTTTCTCATTAGTATTTACCAAAAACAAACAAATAAGTGGTAATCAGGGTTGATATGTTGCTAGCAAGAATCCCCCCCTCCCCAACTAAAAAACAGGAAAGAAATGTATTTCTTTTTTTTTTTTTCCTTAAGCTGTGTTTCATGATTGTGGACAGATCTATAATTTCGAGTATTTTAAAATACTAAAAGTGTTCATTACTGACTCAATGGCCTTCATTGATCTCATCTAATTCCCTCACTTATTAATATTCTATTAATGTACTTGTTTTCTGTTGACTTACCGGTCTAGTTTAAGTGGAGCTAGTGAGCCCCTTTTCTGAACATCTACCTTGAGAGTTACATGGACGGACATTGTCTCTGGAGGGTAGGAATTGAATCGGAAAAGGAAACAAATTTATGGCCTTCATAAAGACTCAAGGTGCTTTTCTACTTAAGTCAAGTGGTTAACAGGCATGATGTGTTGGTTGTATTTGATGACTCTGTGTGTTAATTTATGTCCTAATGGTTGTTAGGTTGACAGTTATTGGGGATTGGAGTGGAGGTACAGGAGCCAGTGCAGCTCACTGAATCCCAGGCCCCCCGTTTTACAGACCATTCAAAGCCCTTCCCCAAGCCGCCACCTACCCTCTTCCCCACCCCCGCATATACCAGTCAAATCTTTCATCTTTTTCCCCTAAACTGAGATAAAATGATAAATTGTGCTGGTTTAAAATCACTTGACACCAGCATGAGAGTATTGGGTACTGTGCAACGTTAGTGAGCCTGGTATAGCATCTTTGGCAACAATTTCAATTCCCCCAGGGAAAGAAAATACATTAGACTGTTCACAATGAAATGATATAGGCTATGGTTAAGTGAGAAATGAGAACATAGGATTTACATAAACTTTAACAAAAAATCTTCACGGATGGATTTCCTTAAACCCATACTTGACATTTATCATGTATCACGTGGGCCACTCAGTCTCTTTTTTAACTAAGGAGGCAAAATTGCTTCACATAATATTACATAATTAAAACTATATGTACAGAATTGTTAATGGCAGTTACAAATTGTGATGAGGTTATTGGTGTTTTATTTTCTTTCTTTTCTGGACGTATTTACAAGTTTTTACAATGAACATGCGTTACTTTTTAATCAAGAAAATAAATCATTTTTACTAAAATTTGCAAAAGTACACGTGTAAAACTCATACATATATCCTTGCCATAGTAAAATAATTTTATTCAGTATGTTCTGACTGGCTGAGTACCTCATTTTATAATAATGAGCCCTACTATATTTGTATAGTTCTTTACACAGTTTTTTTTCATGTGGGACATGTAATAATAATTCAGTAATGGTCATGGGATAGATAATAATATCCCCAAATGAGGTAATTATGGGTTAGATATTTTATCTTGTTTTCCAAGAATTATGTAATTAGCAAATAGCAGAAATAGAGCAATATTTCTGAATCCTAGCACAATTTTCCTTTTTTATATGCTATAATACCTTTTTCCTCCAATATGTGTAACATTCTGCTAAATCCTATGGAACATATGAAGAAATAAAAGATCCAGTTCTCCATCAAGCAGTTTATAATACAGTTGGGGTAAAAAGACATATACCGACAGAGTTCATTAGCATTTCAACTGATGGCACAGATAAAAAGTGCAGTGCATAATACAGTGCCTGGAACATAAAGGCACACAGGAAATGATGGATGGATGGATGGATGGATGGATGGATGGATGGATGGATGGATGGATG